ACAAAATTCTAAAAATGTTGAAATTGACACGCATAATAATTAAAGATAACTCGGTTCTACCGGGCCTCAAAAATCAAGCCTCGAACCCATACATAATTATTCAATCCAATTTTAAACATAATTAATTATTTAATTTATTAAGCTAACAAAATTCTAAAAATGTTGAAATTGACACGCATAATAATTAAGGATAACTTGGTGCTACCGGGCCTCAAATATCGAGCCTGAAATCATACATAATTATTCAGTCCAATATTAAACATAATTAATTATTTAATTCCTTAAACTAATACACACAATTAATTTTGTTTACATTATAGTAGACGACATGGACTTTCCTCCGCCTGCGCATCCTGGACCTACCGAGGATCAGCTACTAGTGTTACAGGGCGACCATAGGTCCTCCTTTGTATGGGAGGGACAGCTATCGATGCAGGCTCTCCGCCTTAGGAGACCTGACGATTTGTGGGAGTTCATCGTGGAGCATCATTTTCATGCCCGCGTAGTCGCGCGCCTACAGGCTACAGGCTTCTATACGATTTTTGAGCTTGGACGGATGCAGCTTGATTGGTCTCTTATCACGGCCTTGGTAGAGCGGTGGCGACCGGAGACGCACGTTTTTCACTTGTCCACTGGAGATGCCACCATCACGCTGGAGGATGTTCAGGTTTTGGACGGGCTACGCGTAGATGGACAGGTTGTGGCACTGCCCCAGTACATTAGATCCATGACCCGTGCACAGTTTTTGGATATGATGGGGCAGTTTACTGGTTATAGACCTCAGGGTGACGCTGGGGGCAGTCGCGTTGCTTTGTCAGCCATCGGAGATCATATGGCTGTTTTGCACCCAGACATTACCGATGAGACGGAGGATCTCCATATTGAGAGGTACACGCGGTTGGCGCTGCTCCTGTTTTTCAGGTGTGTCTTGTTCTCGAACACTTCGAGGAGTCTCGTGAGTATGCGCTTTCTCCATCATCTTCAGCAGTTGGATGATTTACCCCAGTACAGTTGGGGTGCTGCTGTTCTCGCATACCTGAAAGGAGCTTGTGCCGGTCGAGCATGGGACCAGCGGTGGACATATGTGGTTTTCTGCCCCTCCTACAGGTGACAACATTTTCGAATACTTTGTTCATTACTCCGAATTCTATATGGTCGAAATGACTCATAAATTTTACATCAACCTTTTATTTTAGGTTTGGGCCTGGCAGCGGATCATGCCGTTGCAGCCACCTCTACCACCACTTGCGTCCGGTGAGGCTTATCCGTTTCTCCCTCTAGATTCTAGGTGGATTCTCCGGCGTGGGAACTACTGAGGGACCGATGCTCATCATAATCTCCCCTTGTCAGGGATGTGCTAGATATGCTGGTGGACGGACAGGTAAATATGTACCTACACTTACTTGTTTTAAATTAAGTTGTGTTGCGCATACTCACTTTTATGTTATTATTTGGTAGTTCATCTGGACGTCATACAACGACGAGTTGCTAGCTTAGTTGTCTGTTTATTGCTCAGTCGATCGACTGCTTTGGAGCACCTCCGTCCCGATGATCTTCTTCGATATGGTTGAGTATCATGCCACAGAGCGTGTGCTTCTCCAGTTTCACTGTCCCCAGCCTATACCGGGGGAGCCTGGATGGGTGGATACACACTATCAGCGGGATGACCGTGCCAGGCTGAACTATATATATATGGGATGGCTAGAGCAGCAGGTCCATATTTGGGAGGAGCGAGTTGACCGTATTCCGCCATCACCTACATTTACCCAAGAGGCCACTATTCATCTGTATGCATTATGGTACCGCCGTCACACCCGACTGATTATCGGGAACCCCATTCATGTACTTGGCGAGCGCTACAGACCATACGCCGGGAGGCACGAGGCACTGGTATGTTTTTTGGCTTATTAATACCGTATAATTGTGATATAGCGTTATTTAATTAATATTTTAAATGTTTCACAGGCTATTGGGCATCATCACCTAGACCAGTTGGGACAGGAGATGCAGCAGCATACCGACATCCCTACAGTCATTGACTATGGCCGGCGGGTGGCACAGTTGGCTCGTCGGACCCTGTTTCAGGCGAGAGATACGGCAAGGTTGGACCATGAGGCTCAGTATGCGGCGCCAGAGGACTACCATCGGGGTAGGAGTGTCCCACGAGGTAGGGGTAGGGCACGGGGGAGGGGTGCCCCACGAGGCAGGGGTGCCCCACGGGGTCGTGGGGGACGAGGAGGAGGTGGTCCACAGCAAGGGGGCGTTGAGGCACCTGTCGACCCACCTGTTGAGGGACATGATGAGGACTTTGGAGTTAAGGCGCTTAGAGATGATCAGTCGGGTTATATACCTCAGGTAGATGAGCCTTCCAGCAACATGCCTTCATACAACCTTCAGCTATCTCTGCCAGCATCGCAGGTCACCCCGTCAGGAGCATTGTCGATCACG